CCAGGTACAAACACTACTACCCCCCAGGAACAAAAGGAGCAGCACCACAAACAGTGATTGAACCAATCACAAAATACCCAGGAAAAAGGAAGGAAAACCAGGGAATGGACAATAACAGCCCAAAGCTGCTGCCCACAACAAGGCAAAGACAAAGACCAACAAAAGACAGCCTTCCTTTGAGTGATCCCCTAATTAGACCACTCGACAGGAAACAACCAGAAACGCACTAGTCACCACTACCTAGTAAAACACTAAAAACACTGGTACTGGCGGCCTTAAGACTGTGCTGGGTGCTAATCACCCTGTCCCACAGCCAGGAAAACTACTTGACTATGATCCGAAGACCGAGGCAAGCAGTCAAGAAGAAAAAAGAAGTGGAGTAGTCGCTACCTAAACACCTAACAAGTTAGGCTGGCCAGTCGACCGGAAGACAAGAAAAAAGACGAGGGCGTGTCTGCACAAAGAACTGCAGCTAGTTGATAACCTTGACAGCAGAGTTATGGACCGTGTTCCAAGCATAGATCCTCCACTGCAAGGGTGAAGAACCTGACGCATGTAAGTACCTGCGTCAGGTAAGTATGCTGTTGTTTACGGCGCTCACCTTATATACGCGATGATGATGAGACGCGATTGTGGTAGTTCGGGGGTTTCCCTCTTGTCTTGAACGTCATGTGCCGCGATCTAGAGAGTGAGAAAGTATGTTAGTCAAATTATATGTAGTCGATTCGGTTCATAGTTTAATGAAAGCACGCTCACAAGGTGTAAAATATCGACATTGGATAATAATAAAGTGTTACAAGTCATATGATATGTATGTTACATATGCATGAGACTGAGCCGTGATTATATTTCACGTGCTATTCGAGAGTATGGTGTTAATATAAATCTATCGGCATGTGAAAACCCCCGTGTACTTAAGTGTGTGTGTAATCTTTTAATAACCTGGAGATTGTTTTATAGTTTGATTTGTTTTTGAAATAAAAAAATGTTCTTCCCCGAGTGGGGAAGGGGCCGTACTCGGATGTAGTGCAATACCGAGACAACCCGTGGCCAGGGCGAAGCAAGCTTCAATCCCATGGCCGAAGTCCAAAAATCAGTTTAATATATGAGTTAGGCATTGCCTAACATATCAGATATTAAGCTGATAAGAACAGATACTACACTTGATCTTATTTTGAGTTGAACGACGAAGGCTTATCGACTCCGACGGTGCAATGGAGCCTGGACCCGTGATATCGCCGCACCCAGGGGGTTGCTACACAGCAAGCAGACAACAGAGAGTACGACCCTCTCCCCCGTGCCATGGACATCGATGAATGGCCTAAGCGATCCGATGCGAAGCATCTTCACACTCAGGGGTCCCTAAACCTATGATCATGGATGGTCAAGGAATGATGTTAATTACAAATGTGATGTCAACATGAGCAACCCTCCGGTTAACAAGATCGAGAAACATTGAAGAGGCCATGCAGCTCACAAGGACAGAGTCCCAGCAAGCCATGGATCAAAAATTGAAGAACAGACAGAGTACAAGGCAAACAAGTGACGTAACAAACAAAAGGACGACATAAGGACAAACAGAACCAACAGTTGGGCAAAACGTAACAAATATGACAGAAACGGAAAGTCCGCCTTCATTGGACAAGTCCAAGAAGAACGAGAAACGAACAAACAAGTTACTCACACAACTGAGATAACAAAGACAAAACAAACATAAGAGCTTTGAGAACTACGGCAGTACAACCAATGAAGGCGACCCCCGAGTCCCCAAAGAAGGACAAGGAAGGAAGACATTCACCAAAACTCTTCAGAGAAGTCAAGCTTATCCGCGTTGGACAATGTACCAAAAATCCCATCAGCCAGCCATAGTTCTGAGAATTTGTTGAGGGGACAATTGCGTTGCTGCATACGGATCGTGAAACGAAGAGAAGATTTAACTTTGCATAGGATGGAGCAGTGACGTAACACAGCATGATCGAAACGGGCTCTGTTCCGGGCTAACCAAAGCTGATGTTTAAGAATACCCAACAGACAGGGAAACACAGGAGGAATCTTCACACCCTTCCCATAACCAACAAGGACTTCCGATGGGATGAGTGGCAGTGGGAGAAAAACGTTGGTAGATGGTGAAGTACCATGCAAGGAGCCGGGCTGCAACAGGGCACTGAACAAACAAATGGAGCAGAGATTCGGCTTGACCGCAATGGCACTTTGGATCAACAACCATACCAAACCGACTGAGACGATCTGCTGTAGGGAGGATTCCGTGAGCAACAAGCCATGAAGTATCACGAACCGGGCGAATAAACCTCCACAGATGTAGATTGAGCCAGACCTGATGCCAATCGACGATGAAACCCCAGTTACAATACTTGTCGACACACCGGTGTTGCGTACGTTGCTTGCGGGAAAGGACGCCATATACAAACCGAGCGGAGAGGGAGTGAAGAGCACAAGAAGATCTGGCCCCATCAATAACGATTTCACCATTATCGACCCGACGAGACAGCGAGAACCAAGACTGCATCACAGAACGATAAAATGGCGGGAGAGCATCCATAGCATATTTGGGGGGGAAACGAAGAAGCAGGATTTGATCCACTTTACGACCAGGAAAGGCTCGAGTCAAATATTGCGAAAAGAAACTGGCCCAAGGAAGATGAGAATGTTCCAGCAATCGCCTAACCCAAAGGACATGAAGGCTCGATATTTTTGTCTGGACATCAACCACACCTAAGCCGCCTTGCGCTGGACGCTGCGTGACTGAGGAACGAGCAAGCCACTCACGTTTCTTTTGCCAAACAAAAGAGAATACTTTAGCGTTGATTTGCTTGAGTGTAGACGCGGGTAAACAGACAAAGGACAGAAGATACCAAAACAGGCTTAAACCAAGTGTGTTTGCAATTAAAGCACGACCATGAAAAGACAAAGTGCGCGACTTCCAACCAGAAAATATCGTATCAAGCTGTTGAAGCGGTTTCTCCCAATGCTCTTCCCCATCATTTGAGAGTTGCGAACCTAATACCGTTATGGCCTCACTGGACCAGTCCAGGGGAATGGGCATGTCTGTTCGTGTTTTCCAAGATCCGATCAGGAGACCATGGGATTTGGCAACATTCAATCTTGCCCCGGAGGCAAGTTCATATCGATCGAAAATGGAGAAAACCTCACGCAGCGAATGATCGGATTGGATGAGAATGGAAGTGTCATCAGCATACTGGCAAATCTTTGCCCGTTGACCATTGGGTAAAGATAACCATCAATTAGTGGGTTTGCACGAATGGCACAGGCAACAGTCTCGGCAATAATGACATATAACAAAGGTGATAATGGGCAACCCTGACGAACGCCACGAGTAACCTTGAATGCCTGGGTTTGCTCACCATTAATGAGAATGCTCGAAAAGATCTGTGAATAGAAAAGAGATACCCATTTACTGAAAGACTCACCAAAGTTCATTTGTTTAAGCACTCGATGTAAATATGACCATTCGACACGATCGAAAGCTTTTTCTTGGTCTAAGGAAAGCACTGCAGCTCCAATATTATTAGCATTAGCATGATAAACGATATCTTTAAGTAACCGACTATTTTCGTTTGGATTACGACCCGGGACACCACATGACTGGTCGGTGTGAATAACTAAGTGCAGAACGGCAAGGAGTCGATTCGCGATGGCTTTCGCTGCAATTTTGTAATCAACACAAAGTAATGTGATCGGACGCCAGTTTTTCATCGCCAAGCGGTCACCCCGTTTGTGTAAAAGAGTGATGACTCCGGTACGTTGAGAAGGAGAGAGTTTGTTAACAGCATAACAATGATTCAGGACCTCGACATAATCAGAACCCAAAAGAGACCAGAACGTTCGATAAAACTCTGCCGGAAAACCATCTAACCCAGGAGATTTGCCAGAGGCCATACCATCTAGTGCCTTCTTACATTCGTCCTCGGTGAGTGCACCTTCACAAAGTTTGAGTTGGCTGGCAGAAAGTTTCTGCGTCAGAGAGTGAAGAAAATAATCTTGGTGGGAAAGGTGAAGAGCTTGAGAGGTGAATAGTTGACCATAAAAACCAATCCACGCATAGGAAATTTGCCTGAAGGTGCTAACCACCACACCACCCAAATTCGTGATAGCTGTAATTAGACGCTGTTGGCCACGTTTCTTCTCCAACCGAAAAAAGTATGCTGTGGAAGCTTCACCTTCCTCTGCCCATTGAATATTCGAACGAATGCGAGCACCTCGAGATTGTTGGCGATGGGCGTCTTCTAATTCAGCTTTGGTTGTATTAACAAGATGATTAACATCCTCACCATTACTTAGATGAAACAGGGAGTTCTCCAAGGAAGAAACACGTTTACGAAAGGTGGAGGAATCAAAGAATGCAGAACCTTCTTGGGCTTTGTTGGGACCATAGATGTTGCATATCTGGAAACAGTACTCGCCCTTTGACAACTCAGTGCATAACAATCTGCCCGCCTGGTCACGAGAGCTCTGAATAACCTGGAACGCAGGATTATATAAAATAGCGACACCCGAACTGCGATTGGTACCGGGAGAGGATAGACACTTGTACCCAAATTTATTCAGCCCACTGGCAGATGCAGACGTAAGCCAGGATGAAAATTCTTGCTCCGAAAGAGAATGTGTTTCTTGGAGGCATACAATGTCAGTCTTACAGCAGTTTAGCCAAGAGAATAAAGTATCACGATTATCAGATGAACGAAGTCCTTGACAATTCAAGGTGAGTAAGGTAAGTTTATTTGTGTTAGCCATTAAAAATAATTGGGAACAACGACAATTATATAAATTTGATACGTATTAAAGACCACCTTTTGACAAGGATTTTTTACTGGTACCACAGACCGGTGCAGGTTTCGTTTTTTTGGAAGAGACAGCTAATGTGAGAGGATCCAACTCATACGAGGAAGTTTGCGAACTGAGATTAGCACGAGGTAAGTTGGGGGTAATCAGAGTTAAAGGGGAGTCCAGGGGTGTATGATCCATTACCGATTCTTGAGGTTCATCAACAAAAGCGGGGTCCAGGGGGGCATTCTTTTTCGAGTCCGTGACCGAGCTTGTATCATCATCAGAAAAATCTGCATCACCATCATACTCATCCGACCACTGAGGAACAACTTTTGAGGAGGGGATCACAGAGGCGGCAACAGGTGAAGGAGGAACAATGAGATCATCACCAGTTGCATCAGATGGATTGGTGGCAGGAGGGTTTTGCTGTTTGGGCGTAGGAGGAATAACCTCATCATCATCATCATGGTCTGCGGCTTCGTCAGGAAGCGCAGCAAACATGTTTGGAGAAAAAATCTGGGTCTTCACAGTCTCAACAATGATCGCTTTACCACGTTTGTCATGATGATGACCAGAATTGGCAGAGGAATCACTATCTGAGTGATCGCGTTTGTTGGATGGAGGAGCATCCCCAGCATCATAAAAGGGGTCTTCCTCTTCCGAGGATGCATCAACTTCCGCTTGCGAAGCATCATCAATGGTGGCCTTCACGACCGCTGCATAAGCAGGGGAAGGAGCAATAACCGAGGGATTAACAGCAGGAGAATTGGGCTGAAGATTGTGCGTTTCACCATGATGCAGAGGAGAGGGCACGCGTACTGGATCAGGCTGATCCAGAATCTCGCCACGTGCAGGCGGAACATCAACAGCAGGATTAACAGGAATGTTGTTATTCTCCGGAACAACATCTGCGTTTACAACAAGAGCAGGAGCTAAATTAGCTACGTTATTACCCCGAATAGGGGGATTAATGACACGCTTAGCTGGGCAATCTCTACTGCCATGACCAGTCTTGTGACAAGAAAAACATGTCGGCACCTGGCCAACATAAAAAGCATTACACCAGTGACCGGCAATTAACAGACGAGATGGTATAGGTTGGGTAATTTCCATAAGAACATTACGAATACCCACATAGACATTATGATACGTGTCCATCTTGACCTGTAAAACTTTCCCAAAAGGCTTAAGGGCGGCAGTGATGACTTCAGCCGAAACACCATAACTAAGACGAGTGATATTTACCCACTTAGCCGATTTACAGGGGCGCACATCAATCGGAGCATCCCGAAACGTTAAGCCAGAATGGCAGAATTCCTCCATCGCCAAGGCACTACGACAAGTAACCCTAACACGACGTGGAGAAAGCAGAACAAAGGCTTCCAAGAGTGTACTAAAATTATCCGGCATTTGTCCCAGAAATTCGTCCATAACACTCTTAACTGTGAGTCGTGGCTGACCAGCCACCACCGGTAAATCAATGTCAACGGTACGATTGGCGTATGGTATCTTCATTGCGAGGGAAAAACAAAATAGAAAAATCTACCCAAATGAAAACCCACCCCAAATGAACCTGGCTACCGGGGTTCAGTCAACACCTCCCCCCGGACACACAAAAAACGCGAAAGAAAAGAAAGACTCCTCCCTTGAGTTACCCCCTAATAGGCCCCTCGACGAGAACAGACCGACTCAAATGTAATAAACAAAAAAATCACCACCAAGGTTGTGGTACACACAAAAAACTCACGCACAGGGAACAATTCCAACAGAAGATACCACGACCAGTGGAACCAATACGCCAAGGACACAGCAAAGGCACCAAGGCCCCAGGGCCACAGGACTGGACACCAGGACCAGGACCCAACAACAGGACACCAAGGAACCAACAGCAGGACAACACCAGGACAACAGCAGGACAACAGCAGGACAACAGTAGGACAACAGCAGGACAACAGCAGGACAACAGGAGGACAGCAAAAAACTTCTTTTACCAAAACTGGACAGCAAAAAATTCTTTTCCACCACAGAACCGACTAATCTTAGCCAAAAGGCCGAGAAGCGATGCCTTCTTTGCCGTTTGCCACACATATTTCTACCGAACACTTGTGCTACGAAAACGCGGTGAGAAGGAGCTCGCCTGCGAGCGATTATGACGTCGACAAGCGCTTGATTACTCGTCGCACGAGCACGGCAAGTCCGTGGTGATAGCCCACCGCGACCCTCGCGGTCCTGTCGCGCACGCGCGTGCGGTCGTGGAGAGGGGCACGGCGGCCATGTGGCATGGAGCGCGAGACGAGAGTTGCGAACGTATCGGCTTTCGCGCTCCTTAAAGATCCAGGAATGCGTCGAGCTTCTTTCACTCGCAAACTGCATTGTGACCCGGAAAGGTTTCGGGTCACGCACCGTGAAATAATGCGATGTTTGAATAAATGTTTACTTGGTATTCTATAAGTTTGACCGGCAAAACACGTGCGCTTGAGTGACATGCGAGCCAGTTAATCGGCACTTGGAATGTACGTGCGATGGCTTGAAATTGCGTTGGCAAGCAAGTGACTTTATACAGCGAATCGATTGAATAGTGTGCAAAGACTCGAAGTGCTTACAAAATATAAACGTGTATAGCTTTACTTACCATATAATATGAACACGACATGGAGATTTTGGCACGGAGAATATATATATATATATAGAGTGTCTTCTGTGATAAATGATACCGTTTGACATCTGATTCTATACAAAAGCAATCGACACACGGCGGCAGTGTTAGAAACAAAAACGGCTTTTTATAGATGAATATATATGTTGAAGGGGACGAGCGCGAACGCAGGTCCCCACTACCAGAAATTATACGCTCGAGTTACCCACATTAGGGGTAATCGCAGGAGTCAACCCAGTCGAAGTGCAATGAAAGGGCCTCATCCTGAGAGGACCTCCTAGTTGATCAAGGTGCCTCTCGCGTCAGGTAAGTATGCTGTTGTTTCCGCCGCTCACCTTATATACGCGATGATGATGAGATGCGATTGTGGTAGTTCGGGGGTTTCCCTCTTGTCTTGAACGTCATGTGCCGGTCTAGAGAATGAAAAAGTATGTTAGTAAAATTATATGTAGTTGATTCGGTTCGTAGTTGAATGAAAACACGCTCACAAGGTGTAAAATATCGACATAGGATAATAATAGAGTGTTACAAGTCATATGATATGTATGTTGTATATGCATGAGAAAGCCGTGATTATTTCACGTGGTATTCGAGTATGGTGTTAATAATCTATCGGCATGTGAAAAGCCTTAAGTGTGTGTGTAATCGTTTAATATAACCTAGAGATTGTTTTATAGTTTGATTTGTTTTTGAAATAAAAAAATGTTATTCCCCGAGTGGGGAAGGGGCCGTACTCGGATGTAGTGCAATACCGAGACAACCCGTGGCCAGGGCGAAGCAAGCTTCAATCCCATGGCCGAAGTCCAAAAATCAGTTTAATATGTGAGTTAGGCATTGCCTAACATATCAGATATTAAGCTGATAAGAACAGATACTACACTTGATCTTATTTT